CAGCTCCGACAGAACACAGACCAACTTTTACCTGCTGTCTTAACAGTACGTTTTAGAAAATACTACAAATGGCGCAGTAAACGCCATCTGTAGCACGATGCTACATTTTAGGATTACGTATGTTCTAACAAGGTCCACTTTTGTGAATATCTACTTGCTGAAAACGAATCCCGGCGTAGCCAACTTCAACGTGATAGACATGTTAGCTTAGAATAAAATAATTCGAAGTGGCGATCCGCGTCTGGCAGTTTCGACAGAATATAGATCACTTCGAATTATTTTAAAAAGGTGGATGTTATAGTAAAGTTTAGAATGGAAAATGAATGCATTTCTGGAAGAAGAAGGATGAAATATTATTTAGAATATGTGAAATGGGAAAGGAAATATTGCTGCATCTATTGAGAAAATTGATCAGAGTAGTTTGGGGGGAATATAGAGAGATCACGGTGATCAGATCAGATCAGTCAAATGGACTGATGTCCAACTTGTGCTCCGTTAGCTTTTTTGTTTTGAAAGTGCACCATAATAAGGTTTAAACCCGAAACCTGCAGTGTCAAAGACAAGGCTTTTAACCTTGGAGGCATCGACCGCTTCATCCTCCAAATTTTCATTTTCTCATTAAATTAGTAAAAAGAGGAAAGCGGATAAGCACCAACATTATCTAGCGTTGTTTCAAATGATGTTTTACTTTAGTTGAAAGCAAATGCTTGTAATCCGACGACTTTGCGAGAAGCTCTTAAGTAAGAAACAAATTAGATTGTTCTCATCATGAAAGTCACTACTATACATATACAGACAAATACACAAGGTGCTCAGAAAATATTACAGAGAATCCTGATACTTACAACTTTTGGTATGGGTGGAACTGAAATCAATATGGCGGGAAATATAGTTTAGTGATAGTTTTCGTTTAATTTAATTATCGATCTTGTTGCAATTAATGAGTGAGCATCTCCAAGAAATTATGGAGTACTCTATATAAATACTACGCCTATGTTGAACAGTTACGTTTCTTAACCTCAATCTCACGTCAAAACTTGTTTATGTACCGTGTTTGTTAATTCATTTACAGTGTTTCTGAAATAAGTGCAAAGCTTGCAAGAGAAGATAAGGTAGGTACTATAAAGCAAGAGAATTAAGTAAATGTTTGCTAATCCAAAAGTTCACGAAAGACGTATTTGAAAGTATATGTAAAGGCCAGCTCAGCCCTGGCAAAGCAGCCAAAGAAATATGACAATGCAACGCCGCATTCAATCAGTTGGTAACTAGCATCTCAAGTTTTGTATTTATTTTGTGTTTTTTTTGCTCATGAATTGTTTGTTATTTGTTAGATAAGATTAAGTGTGTTTCAAGATATTTATGTTACAGGCGGCCTGTAGAAATTATTTGTTCTTTTCGAGTTTTAACCTTGTGTTTAGTAAACCTATGTGCGGTTCAATAAGGCATTACAACAACATAACATCGATCATTGGAGTGGGTCAGTGTGTCACTGTAGAACAGTTGTTGCAATGATTTAACATAATAGGTCCGAACTATATCGTCGCTGTAAAAGACGAAATCCTTAAGTTTGTATAAGAAAATTCCGAAAAATTACACGGAACATTGGCCCGTGTGGCAAATTTTAAAAGAGCAATTGCTGCATCCATGTCGTTTGCCGCGAAACAAAAAGTGCATCAGACGTCATTTTTTTCCATGCTTAGTAGTCCGTTTCTAACTCCGCTGGACTTTATTGTACAGCGAGTGCATCAAACGTCACTGCACAATGCTGATGATGTGCAGGACCGTGTGATGATCGCTGCAAATGAAATTCATTTAATGCGGGAGTGAGTAATGGTTTTGATAGTCGTCTTGAAGCCTGTTTTCTAACATTCGGTTCTGATTTGGATCACTTTTTTTAGTAAGTATACGCGTGTGTGTATGTTCACGTGTCCACAAAAGCAATAACTAGTTGATTATTTTGTAAGCAGTATGTTTACTTTAGGCGTTGAGCGACCGTTTTCGTTTACACACTGGACATACTTAGTTACCGCAATTTAGTGTACTCAAAGATCTAGTTCTACTACAACTCATATTGACAGAGCACGTCCAGGACCGGCTTCGCATTGTAGGGGTTTTCTTACAAATGTTTTTGTCCCTTAACCACGCTGTTCTGCTAGCCATGCGATTCCTTATTGTATCTAGTTGAAATCCTCTAATGGTTGGCACTTATTCCAGAAACACTCTGTACATACTTGATGCAAAACAAGAAACGTTGCACAGGGTTTATGACAACGTTACCACAAGAATTACGTGTTCATAGAACATTTTTAAATAATGGACCTAAACTGCTATACCTTTATTCTTTCCTAATAGTATAAGAACTTTTATTAGTATTCAAAACAATTTGTAATCTTTCAGACTTTCTTAACTAACTTTCAAGTTTGGTTACAACGTGATGTCTCATGCCGTCCCTGGAACGGGTAAGAAAGTAGGCACATTTATATTCAGAGGGTCTCTAAATGAAAATGAAATGCAAATTGTCGAACCTAAAGTGCTGATTCCGAAAACCAACACTTATTTACGACGCGGAACGATTTGATACAGACTCTTAATGGGTTTAGCAGCTCCATTCAAATAATAGAAAACATCGCAGGTAGTGGATAAAAAGGCGTAAATGTTCTTTTTCGAGAAAGGGTCCTGCGACAGCCTAAAATCAGGGCTTTCACTTCAATGCACTCTAAGGATTGTTACACCTTGATTGATATTGATAAGGAAAGTTGAAAGGTTATTTTTACTGGATTACCTAAAGTCACTTTATAGCCAGAGAACTGGGCAAGAGATGTCAACGTCATTTTATGTTCGTATAATAAAGGGGGTTACATTTCTAACTAATCTTACAACCCCGTAGAAATAGGCGATAGATATAGAAGACGACATTAGTGGAAAGGGAGAGGGAGAAGAGGGGGTAGAAAAAGCTCTGTCTGATGAGGGTAGATGATTCATGTTGCTTGAAAGCAATTTTCCTATAAATATTTTGAGAAAATTCAAAATTAAAATTTGTTGAAATTAATTATTTGCGCTCCTAATAAATGGACGACATAATTCCCATTATGTCCCATTGATTCCAATCATTTTCTATTCTGATATCAACAAAAATTTTCCAAATTTTGGCGCCCCCTAGCAGCCATTCTAGGTGCAGGTACGTAAATCCTTTAACCAAATCTGACTTATATAAATATACCCTGAAAATTTGGTTTAAAAATGTTAGTTGAACCGCGATTATCCTGATACTCGAAAGTCATACTTCCATGAAATCCTACAAACGGCGCGGTAAACGTCATCTGTAGTGCAATGCTATACTACCTTTACTTTCTCTAGCGATGTGCCCCTTCCAACGTCTTGAATACGCGCTGGCAAAATCGCAGGTAGGGAGAAAAAAGCTCATTATACTTTCGACTCTTGTTCATTAAACATACTTTTTCCTATACCATATAGTACCTGCCAAAGTTTTGTTCAATCATGAATAGTAGTGCGAGTCGAAAACAAGCGTTAAAGCCTTTAATATGTCTTCAAATATAAATAAACATCTTGTTGATATTATCAGTAGTAATTGGTACCAATAACAGCACATTTGAGCAATGCAATTGTAGTGGATAAAATGATCAATTTTTCCGTGCGGTACTGTACGGATTATACGTTCCTTGCCGGTTAAGAGTTTGGCCGAGAGTTGTCTCCTTCTTTTTCCGGCCTAATGCTGTTCTTTTCTACTTTGCGCCGGTCAAACTGAAGGTCACATCGCTACAGAAACTAAACGAAGTATTTATTGGAATTCAATATGTTCAGCAAGGTTCATTTACACAGATGGACATCTACTTGCTGAACTGAATACGGTCCTGTACGTGTGCACAGAGGAAAAGAAAAGTCGAAAACATCTGAGATGAGATGTTATAAGTGGATGATGAAAATGCCGTTGATTGAAAACACTAGAATTGAGGAGGTGTGGGTGTTGATGCGTGTCCAATCAATCCTCAGGCTGACGTTGTAATAACGCCCTTTTTATAATTCAATTTTATTATATTTCTCTCTTTACGTTTAACAATATGACGTAATCTTGAAGAGTTGATTCAACGATTTAATAATATAATCGAGTTTATTTGATAAAGAAAATTCGCGAGGGATCGTCGTATAAAAACAAGCGCAAAGCCGTGAATACGCAAACGGCAGAGGGTTTAACCTTTGATTTTCTTTTCACTTTTTTTTTAAGGTTGACAAATCAAAATTTTTGTTTAGAGTGACAGCTGCTAAGAAAATCCTTGTTTAAAATTCGGCTTTCAGTAAAAGCATTTAATAAAATTCTTAGAGGTTCTCTCGACTGTTTTAAGGTATTTTAGAACTTTTAATGCTTCTTTAATTCTAATTATATGCTGCTAAAGCTCAACTTTAGCTTAAATCTGAAATTATATTTTAAAGCAACTTCGAAATTCCCATTCCTTCTTCGAGAGTCACGAAATTAAAAAACAAAAGGCACATTTTGATGCTTTTAGTACTACTATATGTCCTTGCAACTTTCCATCTACTATTATTACCTTCGTCTATTTCTATCCTTATAAACCTTATTAATTAATAATTAAGACAAATAAAGAAACCCCAATTTTTGCAAACAATCAAATAATAATTAATTAGTCGATGAAGCTTTTGATTTCTTTGTAACTCCATGATAAAATAATACACAAACTTACTGGTCGGCATGCACGCTATTGGCAATTTCAAAGCCGTTCCGCAAGAGCGACTTGGTATAATATAACAGTACAGGCAGTATAACGCCATCTACTTATATTTGCTGGTAATTTAAGTATTTAAAGATGAAGAGTTAGCAACCATGATCCAAGATCACGAAGATGCAGGGTGGTGAGGCGACTTACCGTCTTCACTCACCCTGTGATAGTTCCCTGTAATTTTTACGTTCTCAAACTACTATCTAATAATATAGGCTAAGATTATTATTATTATATTACCAAATTATTAATTAAATATGGTTAAATTGTTGACTAATCATTCTAAATTGTATAATCCAATTTAGATATTAGATTAAAATANGTTTCTGCCTCTAATATGTCTCTGACTAGACCTTCATGCCTGAGAAGGTGTCCTACCAACCTATCTCGCCTATTGTTTATTGACTTCCATAGAGTCCTCTGTTCTCCTACTCTTTCTAATACCTCTTCATTTCTAACCTTCTCTATCCACGGTATCCTCATAATTCGCCCATAACACCACATTTCTAACGCTTCTAACCCTTTCTTTTCCGCAACTTCCTCAACATACTAAAATTTACTCCCAACGCGCCATTGAATTGGACTCTTTTATCTTTCTATATTTCGCGTTCACATTTAGGGTTCTACTCTTGTTTAAACCTATGTAATGTATTATGCCAGTTATTGTCATACCTGCCAAACCTGTTAGCGACCATACCGCCTACGAAACCACCGAGCATACCGCCGATAGCGAAAACAGAAACCGCGAACGAATAAATCCGCTCGGCCGATTCGTCACTGAGATCTTCATCGTAGCGTGCTTTGTACACGTCCTTCATCCAGTTTTCTATTGTTTTCTCTGGTGCATTGGTGACGCCCGTGTTATAGCCAAACTGGAACATGCCCAAAACCGCAGCAAAAATTGCATACGATAGGAAGAACGTAAGACCCTGCGAACAATAAAAAATATATTACACATTATTGTTAAAAAACTAGACATTGAAAGAAGTGTGACAAGTTGGTAAAGGCTTTCGCGACCAGTAGATGAACTGATGCTTTTCTGATTCGGGTTTTAAGGCCGTCGGGTGTTGGAGTTCTGGATGTGGATGTAGAAAGATGGAAGGACCTTTGAAGAAGCTAGCCACCGGTGCTAGCGAAACATTAGAAAGAAACTCTAACACATGACGACCTTTAGACTTGAATCAAAAGTGGGTTTTTCTTTTAGAAACAAAAGATCGTCAAACAATAAACCTGAAGATTGAAGCAGTTGAAAAAGTCAGACATTTAGACCTAAGAAACGAATCCACCGATACAAAAGTTTAAGGACAAGAAGCTCCGTCAGTCACTCAATTAGATATAAGCCACCGTACCAACAAAACACTCGCAAAGAAAAGAGAGCTATTATGAGGTCAGCGAGGTCACGTTCACCAAGAGCACTGCGTTTAATCTATTTGGTAAAATTTAATGTAAGAAATAATTAGAATCCAATAATAAATTAACTGACTCTGAAATCTTCCATTTATTTTATCACTCTCTGCATACACTGCATCAATATTAATGTCTATTTCGACAACCACCTACAATATACATGTGTAGTAGACCCTGATACTGAATTAAGATAATCATTTCGACAAAATCAAACGGAATATTGATAGCGAGTTACCATTTAGTAACGACGCACGGCGTCGGAGGCGACGTGAGAGAAACGACGCCATATCATGCTTCATTTCCTTAATATGACATCGCTAAGCGAGTCTTTCAAATGCAACAAGCTGAAAGGATACGACGACGATGCAAAATCCCGCATGCGGGCAAAATTATTCCACCGGGACCATGAGTTACTGCTTGCACTGGATTATTAAGGCTAACTTTGTATATTTGTATGTGATGCCCGCACCGGAGCAATGACGAAAAATTTGTGTCGACAAATCTACAGAGTGATTCATAAAGAAAACCCAAGTTATTGAAAGATATTCAGTATTGGTTCTTTACAGGACGATGCACTTAAATTTCTTCCTGTGTTTATGAAGACGTACTAAAGAAAGCAACCTACCAAGTTTATTAGGCGTTTCAGTGGGGTATTTAAAGACCTTGCAGACTGGAAGGATAATATGACAACAGGACAATCCTGAACCTCCTAGTCGATGAATACACTGAGCGTGTGCAATCTTCTATGATTGCCGATCGTCAATTGACTGTCCATATGATTACCGAAGAGATAAATTTTTGGAAAATCCCCAATTGACACAGTTGGAGCTTCAAAATCCCTGATATTCGACCAAAAGCCGGAAAACTCCGCTAAATCATATGAATTTTCTGAGAGGATGATTTTGATGAGAAGACGTTTTAGGAGGAACGGGAAATATTTTGGAACATGGTACTGATCATTCTGAGTAAAAAGTTGAAATAAACTTCTGTCTGAAGATGCAGGATTAAGTAACTAGTCCTCTACTTTCTATTACAGCATAAATCTTTGAAATCTCAAATTACATTAAGTAAGAATGTATCTAATTGAAAACGCTGCAGCTTTGAAGCCGAGCGTTTCAGGATCAAGTTTGCATAAACTTTTTCTCAGGATGATCAGTACTGTACCATCTCCCAAAATATTTGCCATTCCTTCCGAAGCTTCCTGATTCCTAACGTTAATTGTATTTCTAACGATTTCTAAGAATGTTTTGAAGAATGCAGTGATGAAACCGCAAATTGGGAATATTTCGAAGAAAGTAAGATTGATGTACCTTACATTTTGTTAAATAAACTTCTGTATTGAATACTGATTAAAATTGCATATCGTAAAACATGATAAAGTCATTGTTTCCGTCATTTCCACAGACCTGCTCGAGCAACCGGAGTTTTCTGCGATGCGTGTGCTCTTCGAGTCGGTCGACATATTCCCGCAACTCCTCGATCTCCTCCTTGACCTGCTGTACGGTGTCGAGTTCGTGTTTGATGGCGACCATGTCGCGTTTCACTTCAGAAACCTCCGACTGGCACGACTCTACGGAGCGGGTCAATTCCTGGAGTTGCGTCCGGATCTCGCAGAGCGCGACCGTGGTCTCCAAATGACGGTCGCCTCGATGCTGTAACTCATCCAGTTTCGCCGACAGGTTCATACTCATCACGCTCACCTGTTTCTGTAAACTGGACGTAGCCAACAGAAATCGACCGTTAGACAAAAATTATTCCCAATTGCAGCACTTTCGTTTTTTCATAGACAGCAAGAAAAAAAAACGGTAAACATCGAAAACGACTAAAGTCATCAGGCAGAAAATAATCAAATAGCTCATGCACGTGCTCCTAAAGATATTTTTCCCCAAACCAATTTGTCTTCGTCTGGGAAATTTGGTTTAAAATATAAATTACCTAATCATCTGATTTGTTCTCTATGAAAGTTTTTTTTTATACAGAATTTTAATTGTTGATTTATGCCTTAAAACCCTTGTTATAACTAAAAGTTTTTATGTTAACAATACAAATGTATTCATTATTATTGATCTGTTTTCAATTTTCACAAAAATAAGTATGTATTTTAAATTTTTGATTCGTATCAAGAACTTCTTTTTATCCTTAAGGTAAATGTTTTCAGGATGACGCGTAGTAACTGTCAAATTTCTTATATCACTTCCTAAATAATTACTTTAAATCCTTATTCATGAAAATGATAGATTCTGTTAACTGTACATTTACCAATTGAATAAATAAGTTAATTTACGATTAATATGGTGCAAAAAATGGTAAGTCTCTAAAAGAGCCAGGCGAGAATTTCTATCACTCGTCCTAAAAACATTCCGCTTGTACCATTAAAAACTAGTTTATATGGGATAGTACCTAACACTAGATACTCAACTAGAATATTGTCTGATGCATTGAATTGTAATTAATAATAATTAAAATTTTTGCCTAAACTTTTAGAATATTGTTCACGATCCTCGATAACAAAATTATAAAATGAAAGAAACATTAAAAGTCACATCAAGCATGCAAAAACATTAAAAAACTATTTTATGTGTGTAGTTTCTTCATTTCAGTGGTACCTTCCCTTACAGATGCATGTCATATAAGTAAGTAAAATTGGTATGCTGCACCTTTGTATTCTAAAATACTTCATACGACAGCATATCTGTCTAATGGCTGCTGCTAAGAA